ATTATCCTTTTTTTCTTTTTTCCAAAACCCCCCCCCCCCCCCCTTCCCTCTCTCGACTCTCTGACTCATGTGGTCTCTAGACTTGGGGGTTCAATTGAAAGACAACTGGTATACTTTAGATTTCTAATCTCATCGGTCTATGTTACCATGGATTGCAGGTACGAGTATCTAGTGTAGGTTGTGTCCAAACGTCAGATCTTTCTGACCTAGATTCTTAGGATGACAACGTTAGGCACGTCTTAAAACACACAACACATTGCATATTGTATAAAATACACTTTTTTGATAAAAATTAAATAGAAATGTATTTCAAAATTATATAGAATGAATTTCAAAATATATAGAATTTTATCCTCTCATTTGTGTGAGATATATAGAATTTAGCAAATGTGGAGTGTCTTCTTCTTCAAAACATCATTTTTAAATTAGAGGATCCAAGTAAATTTAGAATACAATTGTTTAACATATCCCACACCCTTACCTTAGTCATATTTCGGTGGACAATGGGTTACTTGAAGGGGTAAAAAGAGTCCATGTAACACCAACATTACGGCTAGGCACGGGTCTCATAGGAAGCGCGTAATGCATGTTTGACACGCGTGGGACATAGCTCATCTGTGTCATTTTTTTTTTATACCAGGAGACACATTGGTCACAATGTGTTACTTTAGTGGACATTTTGAGATACAATGGGGTCTTTGATAATAATTTAAATTATTTATGAGGGGTCAAAATAACAAAAGAAATTGCTGCTTTAAGATGGGAAAAAAAGAGTTAGGGCTCTTCATTGGTCAACCTAAGAAAAGGGTCAATGCATGTCGCAAACAACCAAAGTTTAAACTTTGAAAGGTCTCATGAATGGCAAGGAAGTGTCAATTGACGAGATTTTCTGGCGCATCCAAATTCAAACTTAGGTGCATGTACATGGGGGCTGTCATGCAATCGGACAATGCTTCATCCATGTCCTCCTTTTTGCCTTTTTTTTTTTTCTGCCGGACAACACAATGTTCACATGTTTTCCGTTTGTCGCTTCACTGTGATGAGGCCACACAAGATTGATCCACAATTTTCCCTAATTCATATGAACTTGTGTTGAGGAAATTAAATAATTTATTTAACCAACTAATTTGGATGCCAATTTTGATAACCGTAAAAAAATAATCTTTGACTTGAAATAAATTAGTGCTTGTACATCAGTAGTTTTCTAATCTGATCACTCAGTGTTGACTTCCTGGAATAGGAACCTATCACTCCCCAAATTCAAAGGGAGGGCAGTGTGTTTTTCTTTAGGGGATTGACCTGTAATATGGGCCAACTTGCAGGAGTGCAATGTAAATTTACGGCTTAATTTGACTGATATTTGCTGTTCATATGTCCTATACTCATTTTTTTTTTATCTGGAAGCTATTTTGGTGACCATTAAAATTATGAGAAAATTGTATTTTAAAGTGGAGAACAAAGCAACTCAAAATGATCTTCCACTTTCATGGAGGTGTAAGTGTGCAAGTGAGAGCTATCACACATGCCACAACAAACTTTCACCTTTGTAACTGGGCACAAACTGAACTTGCACGCTCATGGAAGTTGCAATTAATTTTGAATTGTTCGCCCATTAAATGCCAATTTTCCAAATAAAATTAATCAGTAGCTGGTTGGAAACCTCGAAAGCAAGCTTTGAATTCCGTTAAGGACCAAAGTTCTTGAGAGAAAATGTGCATTTGAACACTAACCCAAGCTGAAACGAATGGGGTAAGCCCGTTGGTTCAGAAACCCCCTGCAAACTAGGAGGTTAGTAATTCGAATCTACCCACTTGCGTGTGGGTTTTTTTCTGCCATTTTTGAAGTTTTGTATTTAGTAATGTGTTTGTATTTGATCTTCATTATCAAATTATAATTTATTGGCCTTCAATTTCTAGACTTCCAGTAGTACTTACGGTATTGCTTTTTTTGTAGTTCTGCTGCTAGAGCTTGGGAGCTCCAAAAATACGCATCTTCAATGATACTCCTACGCCTGGAAGTGTGGCTCGGGCCCCGGTGATCGCGTCCAGGTCTCCGGGCATACTTTCATCGGAA